ACTTGTTCCCGGTTATAAGAAAGTTATCAAAAAGCCTATGGACTTTTCCACCATCAGAGACAAGCTAACCAGCGGACAGTAAGTAAACTTAATGTTACTTGCCCCGAGATTTCAGTGCTCCACGTGTGCTTACTGAGAACTGAGACTTGAGAATAGTACTGCATTTCTTTTTAATAGTTCCTTTGTGTACTGGAACACTACATCAGGATTAGAAAAAGAGTAAAGACAAAGGAATGGGATTAATCCAGGAGCCCTTTACGTACCTGGTTGTTCATTTTCTGGGTAAATGCGGCTACACTCAGCGCTCCCTTTGAAAGGACTTGAGACCAAGAAAGAATGAATAAGTGGAAAATACCAATAGTATTTGAACTAGAAAACTGTTGAAGCGAAAAGGCAAGCTAATAAATTAAAAAGTTGCCCAGTTCAGTCTTGAAATTTTATCTTAATGTTATTTTTTGGAAAGTAACAAAAACAGTAATGAAGAAGAATTTGCTTGTTCTAGGGTTTGTTTTCCTGAACATACTAAAATTAGATAAATGCAATTTATTCATTGAACATTCATTGCGTGTTCTGTAACTGGTTGTAGATTCACTGATGCTAGCAGAGTTCCTTGTTGTGTTCTTTTTCCCCGTTAACTGTTCCAGCAATGATTCACCTTTTTCTTTTTTTCAGGTACCCTAACGTTGAAGCATTTTCGCTAGATGTCAGGCTTGTTTTTGACAACTGTGAAACCTTTAATGAAGATGATTCTGACATAGGCAGGGCTGGCCACAACATGAGGAAGTATTTTGAAAAGAAATGGACAGAGATTTTCAAATTGAGCTGAAGTTACCAGAACTCATTTTTCCCCTTAAATGAGGACTGATAAGACCAGCAATGTGAACGTGAAAGTGCAAGGCTCCTACATAACTAATGACTGTTCTTCTTCCTTAGAAGTATCACAAAAAAGTGATATTAGTTCTAAAGGCTTCACTCCTACAGCAACCATGGCCCCTTGGTTCTTGGTTTGTATGTTTTAACAAACTAATTTAGGTAGAACAGGGAAGCACACCCAAAGAATTTCAAAGAAAGGGGTGTTATAGTGCAATAGCAATTTAAAATATATCAAAACGCACTGAATATTCAACCACCAGAGCTCTACTCGGGAAAATGGTTCTTTTTCCCTTCCAATAAATATCTATTTTTCATTTTTTTACTTTGTAGTTTATTTTTTAGTGAATGTATTTAATTTTATGAATTATTTATGATTATACAGCATCCAGAATCTTCGTTTTCTGTGAAAAGGAAGAATTAGAAAATTGCTTTAAATCTTGAACATACAACAAGGAATGTTTTAAAATGTAAAACAAAGCCAAGTAAAACTGTTTACACTGATGTGCTGTAAAAGCACTAAAAATAAACTTTACTGTAGAGTTACAAGTACATTTATATATATGTTGCTGCATCACTTGTGTAGTTAAATTGTATTTCAAGACAGTGAAGAAAAATTGAGACTTGTATATACTGTTCATTATTGTTTATATTAAGTCTTGTTTTAAATATGTATGATGTGTACATATCGTTTGCAGATATTATTGTTTATGCCTTAGGAGGACAGTAGCATTTTATTTTAGTCTTAAGGTAATTATAGCTATATGGCTTGTACAGTAATTATCCTCTACCAACACTGTGGAGTCTCCTTAATCTTGGTAGTGCCTGCCTTTAAAAACAGGGTGTAGGGGATATTAGTTTTCCATTTTTCTATTTTGTTACATAATTTCAAGCCACCACAGCCTCAATTTCAAGTATAATCATTTGTATCCACGTGGAATAAAGTTGTGACAATTTCCTAGCACACACAGTATTTTTTCATAGAAGCATTTTCCTCCATTTGCCACAGAAATAAAAAAAAAAAAAAAACAAAAAAAAACAAAAACCAACAAAAAAACCAACAAAAACAAAACAAAAACAAACAAACAAAAAAAGCAACAAAAACAGACAAAAAAAAGACATTTGTAACCACTGTGTTTTATCTACTGTGTGTTGTGGTGGCCTGTTGGGGCAGATAGAGGTAGGGGTTGGGGGGTTGTTTTTTATTTTGTTTTTTTTTGTTTGTTTGTTTGTTTTTTGTTTTTGTTTTGTTTTTGTTTTGTTTTTTTTTTTACTAATGTAAGAGTACTTGAAGCTTTATTTAAAAGAAATGTTGTGGAAAGGTAGCATTCTTTTTCTTTTTTCTTTTTTTTTTTTAGGAGTGTTATTTTTCACTAGTGTGTGTGGCACGGATACAATAAAAGATTGTTTTGCAAAACAGATTTTCCTGGCAATTTTAATATTTGAGCTCTTGTGTACAGGAATATTTCCAATAATATATTTTGAGTCTTGCACTTCAGTTCTTACGATGCATCTAATTCTCCTGGCCTTTGTAGTGGTACCTCCAAGCAATTGCCAAGCAGTCAGAGGAGCACTTTTGCTGCCTTCCTGAATAAGTGCGGATAACATCGGTTAAGGCTTTAGAGGTGCAGCCACTTTGCTTCCCAGAACTTGTATTAACATTACAACAGCAGTTACTGTCGTAGTGTTAATACATACTGTAGTAATATTTCTTAAAAGCTAATGACCATGTATGTTTTGGTTTGGTTTTATTAGCTTTTTTTTTTTGTCTGTAGGAGGGCATGAGTCGTAACCATTGCCCTGACTGAAGAAAATAGATTTATTTGGAATGCCATGTTTGAGTCTTGTTTTATATGCCCCCTTGCCATTACATTCCCTCCTTCTGCTGACTGATAACATTAAGTGCCAGTTTCTTAACAATTTTTTGTATGTTCTGTTGGCCTCTACAGAACACCTTGTTGAACGTTACTTGAAGACTTGCCAGAAGAACTGGCATAAGCTACAATAAAAGAATCGTGTGGGTGTCAGACATTCTAACATTAACTCCACTGACTGCTTAATAGCTTTTAACTTCTTCATAGTGTTTCTGAATGCTTCTGTAAAAAGCTTTGCTGGTATGTTCCATAGATATGAGGAGTAATCCGTGTTTTGAACATAGAACAGTAGGCTTGTGTGTTTTGAAATGCTTAGATCATTGGCAAATGCATGACTTTGGTGGAAAATGATTGTTTTTGTTCTTCTCGGATTCTGTACTTATCCCCCATAGTAGATCTGAGTTTTCTGAGGAGTTGGAACAGTATTAACACCGACGTTATGCACACAGCTGCGTTTCTCAGCCTGTCTCCTGATTAGCTGTGCAGCTGGTCTCGTTAACCAGAACTTAGTGCTGTGACAGTGGGACGTGCTTCACCTCTCTTAATGTTGGTGCATTACCAGTGTATTGCTTTGCTCACTGGTGGAGTTTTTGTTCCAATTCCAATAAAATTAAATTTACAGAAATTATTATATTTGAAAAGTGAGCCTGAAATGTAAGTACACTGTCATATCTTTGTGGAAAAGAGCTGACATTTACTTAGCTGCTGGAGAAATGTCTTCAGTTTTTCTTAATTGCTAACCTTTCCTCTTAGTGTTTCCATCTCTGTTTTCTTAGAGGAAGAGACCAATGTGCTTTACTTCCTTTCTGAACAAGGTAAGCTGATCTTAATTTGTGGAGTTCACTGACAAACTTTAAAACTTTAAAAGTAGCATTTGTGGTGGTCAGTGAGGAGTTCTCTGTTTATCACTTTGCATTCTGTTTTGTCTCTTTGGTATCTCTTTCAAACACATTAGATGACACAAGGGCAGCTGGAAATTAGAAGTTGTCTCTGACAAAAGCTGTCTTTAATGTCCTTTTTTTAAGGGTCTAAACCTTACATCTTTCTATGTAATTATGTAATTTCATAATGACAGTTTTGGTTATCTGAACTTAAGCACAGAAATCCCAAGAACAGTAATGTTATATAAAATGCTGAATTTGTGACCTAGAGGACGTAGTTTGCTCAGTGCACATCAAATTGTCCCTAGATGCTCTAGATTTACCACAACGTGCCTGCAAACTGAGGACTAAAGGCTGAAATCTGGAACAAACCAGTTAGGCTATTCGACTTTGTGACTTTTCTACAGCTCTCCACTGTAATCCATTTTTTTTATAGTCGGTACGTACACTCAAAGAAGATAACGTTATCTTTAATTACACAAATTCCCGCCGCCTGCACTGCCCGAAGTGACCACGGTTAGTAGAAATGAGTAGCCGCAGTTCGACGCGGTGAGTTGGTTCTGCTTTCCCAGCTGTGAAATACGGGCCCGCTTAAGTAGCCTGCGGCGTTCGTGACGAGCCGCTGCCCTTCAGCGCGGCCGACAGCCGACAAACCAACCGGCCCGCGTTTGCTTGACGTCCGCCACTCTCAGCTGGGCGGCTCGGCGGCCGGGCGGGAGCGGCCCGGGGGAGGCGCGCAGGGCGGGGCGCTCAGCGCAGATCCGTGCTGCGGCCTGCCGGTCCCGCCGGAGCGCCGCTCGTAAAGCCGTCCGTGAACGGGCCAGCTTAGCGGGTGAGCGGGGGCGCGAACTTCTCTGTGTGAGGCGGGAAGCGCCTGCTCCGGTTCGGCCCGCCTCCCTGCCGCCATCCCGGCGTCAAACACGCTCCGCGTTAGATGAGGGCGGTGTGACGTGACTCTCGGCCGTTACGTCTGAAAACGAGGACTCGTCTGGGAAACGCGCAGACGACGTGGGCCAAAAACGCCGCCGCTCGCGTCGCTCCCTGAGGGAAGGCCGGGCGGAGCGGGCGAGAGCGCGTGCGCGGGGTCGGCTGCGAGTGCTCCCGTGAGGGCGGTGCGCGGCCGCCGGCGTCCTCCCGCCACTTATTGCATCCGTTATTTCACAGAGGCGAGGGAGCCGAAGCCAGGGCTCGCGGTGCCGCTCTCGCACGTTCCGTTCCCGTCGTCCCCGCGGCCTCCGAGTTGGACGGCTGGCGGAAGGGCCGCGGGGCGGAGCGCCGTGCGGCCTCGTGAGCGCCGCCCCGGGTCGGTCGCCGGAGATCGAAGTGAGTGGCGGCCCGGGCCGTGCTGCGCCGCGGGGGGCGGCGTACCGGAGGGGCGGGTCGTGCCCCGGAGTGCCGGAGCTTTCCGTGCAGCCGTGCGTCGGGTTGAGGGTTAAAGCGGACGCTGCTGGGGGAGGCAGCGCGGGCCTGTTGAAGCCTTTGTCCGACAGTTTTAAAGAGAATCGACGTAAAACTGGGAGGGTCCTGATGTCACAGCAGGCGCTATTAAGGATCGGACCGTAACAAGCAGCGCGCTGTTTGCTGCTCAGGAGAGCGGTTGCTTTGCCCTTAGACGCGTGTATGTGTAAGTGTACGTGTGTGTACCTGCGTGCGCTTCGCACGTGTGTATCTCCACGTATACAGGCACGTGTCCGTGCACGTATGTGAATGTGCTTCCTTGTTTGTGCTGGCCTCTGGCCTTCGGATTGTCCAGACGAAGCATGTAAGTAATAGTGCACTGATTTTGATGTTGGCTCCACCAAAGTAGCGCAGCAGCTTTTGCCTACCAGGATAAAGTGGAATTGTAGGCGTTTCCTTTTGTCTCCGCTCTTCCTGTTTCCCTGCATCGTGATTGTAGTGTGGGGGAACTGGCTGGCATGTATTTTGTGGGATTTTCCCTGACCTCAGCCACATGGCACACTTGTCTGATGCTGCTGATGTCTGTGAGGCTCATAGTCCCACTGCCTTAGTACCTGGAAAATACTCATGGAGCTCCCCTGTTGCAGAAGCAAAAGCAGTTTCATGAGCAGTTCAAATTCTCATCTCCGCCTTTGACTTAAATGCATTACTTGCTTTGCAGTATTTGGTTTACAGTAGTACACAACTGTGTGGTATATAAACATTAAGGAACATGGAAGATAAAAATGGTAGAGTTTCTTGGCCATACTAGGAGCTCATACCCAACTGAAGTTTTCTCCAACTACCACATGATGCTGTCTGTCGTTTTTTTTAGCCTTTGTGAGCCTTCTGCAATGCTCTGAGCAGCTCTGTTCCTGCCTTAGCCCTACACTATAGCTCAACTTCCCTTCTGTGTGTCTCTTTCCCCACTCTGTATCTCCCTGGTTCCTTGCTTCTTCCTTTTGCCCATTTCCTCTTTCCCTGCATGGAATCTCAGAATGGCTCGAGTTGGAAGGACCTCAAGGATCATGAAGCTCCACCCCATCCCCCCCCGCAACAAGGCAGAGCCACCAACCTCCCCATTTAATTCCAGACCAGGCTGCCCAGGGCCCCATCCAACCTGGCTAACCAGGGACGGGGCATCCACAGCCTCCCTGGGCAGCTCTTCCAGCACCTCACCACTCATAGTAAAGAAGTTCCCCTGATAGCCAACCTAAATCCTCCCCCCCTCAACTTAAAACCGTTTTCCCTTGTCCTGCTGTTATCTACTCTTGCAAAGAATTGTAAATTTTTGTTTATGAAGATGTAAATTTTCTTTCTAGAATTTGGAGATCACAAGGGAAATAACTTGCCTTGTCCTCCATCTGACTGTGTCTGACACTTTGGCACCTAACCAGATCGTTTCAGGAAGACAAAGTACAACCTGACCTGTGGTGGTGCAGGTAATTGCTTGGTTTAACAAGAGCAGGGAATGCAATCAAAAGGAAGGGGCAGTGCTTTTTCTCACATTTGAGTCTCAGTTTAGTCTTTGTTTTTGGCTGTTTCCCATACCCATTAATTCAGAGTAGATGTTAGTTTTTGGAAGTAAAGCTCAACTGTAGGTTTTGGTGATTTCTGTTTCCCCCCCAGCATACTTTGTGGTCTGCTCTGCTCCCACTTGGAGATCTAGCGTTCATTTAGCAGTTTTTTTTGTACACGTATCTGTACTGGTGCCAGCTTTACAGGGATATGGGACAGGGTTCTGCTGCTTTCACAAAACTGTTAATGCAGGTGGTTTTGAAGCGCATGCATGGCACATCCAGTTAGAGAGGATGGCTTGAAAACAAATACAAAGATACCTAACAGCTACTTTGTGCTAGCTTGTTAGGAAAACTTTTGTTTTTCCCCACATAATTAAAAGTAAAAATATTGTTATATCCATGGTGCAACCCGAAGCAATGTTTTGACACTGAATCCTCATCACATGTAGGAAGAGATATTTGTTTTATATGTAGCAAGTGCTTTATAAGTTGCTAGCTTGGTGACTAGATTCTACAGTGCGCATGTACTGCATTATGTTTTGTGTAGGTGCAAATGAGAACAAATTTGAACAGCAAACTTATTAGCATAAATGAAAGTACTGGAACAAAGTATGTTGCCATTGCCCTAAAATCAAACAGTTTTTATGTGAGCTTCAGTGCTGCGTTGCAAACTGGCAAGTTAACTTAAAGTTAAAATATGTTTTACTATAATGGAGTCAAAACCTCCTCATTTGCATGTTGTACATGTGATCTGCTTTAGGTTGAGGATAAAACAGTACTTAAGTGAAAAATTAACCTCTGCAAATCAGATATTTCTCCCAGGAGAGTGTATCTTAGTAAGGCGCTGTGTGCGCCTCAGTTATGAATTAGGGGATGTGTCCAACTGTTTTAACTTCAAGTTCTTTTGTTTGTTTGTTTGTTTGTTTTGGAAGTGGATTAAATGGCGACATTAATTCGCACTTTAACAGATCATAGTGATGATGTCAACTGCTGTGCCTTCTCATCATCGTGCTTGGCTACTTGTTCCTTGGACAAATCAATTCGTATTTACTCTTTAAATGACTTCACTGAGCTCCCATACTCGCCTTTGAAAGGTCACGCATACGCTGTGCACTGCTGCTGCTTCTCTCCATCAGGACACACTTTAGCTTCGTGTTCCACGGATGGCACTACCATCGTTTGGGACGCTCGTGATGGTCGGATGCTGGCAGTGCTGGAGCAGCCCACTGGCAGCCCAGTCAGAGTCTGCCGCTTTTCCCCTGAGTCCTCTTACCTGGTGTCAGGTGCAGCTGATGGAAGTGTTGTTCTTTGGAACGTGCACTCAATGAAAATGTACAGGTGAGTGCCAGATGCCTTTTCACAACCTTATTTACTATTATGGAAATATGATCTGTTACAAGTGCTGCTCTGCTGGTATGCAGTACTTGCAGACCTTACACTTCTGGTTTATGTGACAAAAAAAATGGAATAGATTCGGAATAGCAAAAGGTCATTAAGAGGAGAAGTGCTGAGTTTTTGTTTTTCTTAAACATTAAGCATTTAACTGCATACTTAAGAAGCTTGATTTTTTTAACTCTCATCTAAATCTTGTGTTTAAGTATTGACTTAGTTAAAATACAGATGTCAGTTTTTACTGATTTTTTTTTTTGTTTGTTTGTTTTACTTTCAAAATGTATCCTGCCATAGAATTTTAGCAGTGTTCTGTCTTCCAAACTGTAAGTCCTAGCGAAGTATCTTTAGTTTGGAACTTATCACTCAACTTAAATGCTTTTACCATGGGGTGTCACCTCGTGTTTTTCCTCAAGGAGCAGGTCCTGGATCCTATGTGTGCTTTTGTTTTGCATCTCACTGCAATTGCACAGTTTCTCTGCCTTCTGTTACCAAGTTCCAAAATACAGAACTTAGTATGATTTGGATATTCTATCAGATTGCATTTGAGAGATCAACTCTTCACAACATTACTTCTAAAGCCGGTTATCATACACTCTTACTTTTCAGGTCTGGGAATGTTAAAGATGGTTCTTTGGTGGCCTGTGCTTTTTCTCCGTGTGGAAATTTCTTTGTCACTGGATCATCATGCGGTGATTTGACTATTTGGGATGATAAAATGAGATGTCTGTGTAATGAAAAAGCACACGATCTTGGCGTTACCTGCTGTGATATTTCTTCATATCCAGTTTCTGGTTGGTTACTTGACTCTTCAGGGGAGGAACATGGCAAAAAAAGAAAGAAAGAAAGAAAAAAAAAAAAAAGTCATTTCATTTCTCTCTTATTTTCATATTCTTTTTGGGAAGAGCTGAAATTTCTCCGTATTCTGAATACTCTTAAGTAATAGTAGTGGAGAGGTCGATGATGCTTGAAGTAGCTAATTATGCTGCCAGGGTTTTGGAATGTGTTTGGGCAGCATCTGTGAGGCCTATCTCCGGGGTCTAAGAGCAATGTCAGAAGGTGTAGTGCTTGATTACCATTTCCACTTACCTCTTTCTTCCTCTGCTTCCCCAAGAAAGAGAACTGGATTAAAGCAGTGCAAAGAGCTATAAACATAAGCAGAATGCTTCAGCTGTGATGAGTGAGCAGGTAGACTGTTTTCCCTCACCAGACTTGGTGCAGTTCTGGGGAGAAGTGAGCCCTCAATCTCACAAGTCCTGCTAAGATGTAATAGTAAAAGCAGCTTTTGCTAAAAGATTTAGTGAACCCTAATGGAAAACAGTGTGTTCCCCTTCTGAGGAGCTTGGTGTGTACAACACTGTGATCCCCATTAACGAGTTGGTAGCATGTAAAATGTCCAAATCTTTTGTGCTGTGAAAGAATTCTCATTCTGGCTGATTTGCCAAGAAAAGTTTTTTTACACCATAATAGCTAAGGCATGCTGCTCATCTCTTGGTAAGACCCAGATCTTACACAGAATCCTAGGAGGAGGCACTTTGATATTTGGCAGATGGGTGGCAAATCCTAAGGTCTGCCACAGCACACAGCAGCTCTGAGGGCTCCTGTGAACTGCAAACAGCTCTGTGTATGGGAATGTTACTGCAGTAACCAGATGAAAGTGAAAATACAGAAAAACAAGAGATGAAACCTTGGGGGTAATGTGATAAGATGCTTAACTGTAACTCTGTAGAAATAGAGTAGTTTTTCATATTTGCAAATTTTGAACATGTGTAAATGATTTAAAAATTTGAGAACTATTGAAGAAATGGAAATAACCATTTACAGTGGGGAAATAACCATGTTCTGTGGTTAGAAGGCAATATCACCACTCTTGAAAGAATCAAACTCTTATTGTCCAAAGAACTTCAAGTATGAGCATAGTTGTGCAATTGTGGGCACCATCTACTTGTTCTGGAAATCACATGATGGTAACACACAGTCCTTGCCTGCAGATATTTTTAGAACTTCTGCAATTCTTTCTTTCAATGCTTTTTGAAGTTCTGAGATTAAGGAGATTTACCAAATTGTACTGAAGGAGTGGTGATGTAATTTACTGATATGCTGTTACTTTTTGTGCTTATCAATTTCCCATTAATATTTTTAATTTTATCAGGTGGTGACCACGCGTCCGGATACTTCCAGATGGCTTCTTGTGGCCAAGATAATAAGATCAAAGTCTGGTTTATTTTGTTTGCAGACTCCTTAGGTGTGTATGGTGATGCTTCTTCATATTTAAGTGTTTTAACTCTTTAGTGACAGTTTACATCTAAAATCAAATTTATACTGCTGTCATGGATTTGCAGCCAAACTAACCACAAATTGGAAGTGTTCTTTTAATTGTTTTGCTGGAAAGCAGCTAAGGCATGCTGTGTTTTGTCAGACTGGACTCTGTAGCTTTTTGTTTAGTGGTCTAGTGGTTTAGTAGCTTTGTGTTTAGTAGTAGTAAAGATTTTAAAAAATCCCCCTAGTCCTCCCAATATTATGGTAAATGTTTGCTTTTAATTATCATTTTCATCTTCTGGTAACGAGTATTATTTCTGTCTTGGCTGTTGGGCACATGGATAGTTTGAAACCTCTCGATCTGCTAGGCCAGGGAGGGGTCTTCCTTCATCTTTCAGTAATTTTGGCCTTTTGAGCAAGAGCTGGAGGAATCAAAACAGTGTGGCTGTGCTACAACTGCAGTGTGATCTGTGTCGATGGTTTATGGGTCAGTGAGGCCTGGATCTGTGACTGATGGGGCAGGGGGACCCGCAGAGCCCTGGAGAGGGGGAAGGTGGAAGAGGGAGAAGGCAGAGAGATGGGAGGTGGGCCTAAAAACACAGCAGTGGCAATGAGCTAAGGGAGACGAAACTCGTTTACTAAGTATGATATCAGAATGCGAGATAACACAATATGATACAATAGAATACAATTTAATTGGAACTGAGGCTAATAAATAAAATGAGAGTGTCCAAAACCGAAGGCCTCACTGATGCTGAAGGCAGGTGGCTGGGGAGCTCACACTGCAGAGAGGGCAGGAACAGAAGGGGGGACCTCTTGTGCCTTGTGGACAGTTTTATCTTTCCCTCTGAATGGAAAATGGAAACAGAACAGTGGAAGTCTTCTGGGAGGTGCAGTTGTTCTTCTCTTCTGAGAATCAGGTACCTGGAAATATGGATCATCCACGGAACTGCAGCATTGACTCTTTTAACTCCCAGGGCTCCACATGTTATCGTGTGGAACAACAATAACAAAAATCTTAAAAGTGTGTGACTGCTATGTAGAGACAGGGCATGTGGCCAGAATCATCAGCAGGGAATTTTAGAAGCCTGTAAGAATGAATACGGAATGTTCAGATAGCCAATTATCTAACATATTGTTAGACAGATGCTGATACAAAGCGAAGAGGTCACGGAAGTTAAAATTATGTTATCTCTGTGATCCTTTGTCCCTTTTTCTATACAGTGTGTCACAGAGTCAGGTATTTGAGGCAGCTTTATGCCCCTAAAACCATGTTGTCTTAGTACCTCATCAGATACATCCAATTTGCTATAATTTACTTTTTGTATTTTTAGGTTGTGAATTAAGATATAAATGCACGTTGAGTGGACATTCTGCCCCAGTTCTGGCTTGTGCATTTTCTTATGATGGGCAGATGTTAGTCTCAGGGTAAGCAGTATCTGATACTTGTTGAAATTTCAGATGGCAATCCTGTCCACATTGAAGTATTGTGAACAGAATGTTTAAATGAATTGCAGAGTTCAAAGTATATTTCCTGTAATTGCAGAATAGTTATCTCTGCCCTCCAGAAGCAGCGAATTGTTTTTCCATTTTGTTTGTGCCTGGTGGGGATTGAGTTTGAAATCTAGGATTTTGCAAGCTCTGTTCTCTGTGTATTGCAATGAGATTCATCACAGAATCACAAAATCACAGAATGGTTGGGTTGGAAGGGACCTCAAGGATGATGAAGCTCCAACCCCCTGCCACAGGCAGGGCCACCAACCTGCACATTTCATAGCAGCCCAGGCTGCCCAGGGCCCCATCCAACCTGGCCTTGAACACCTCCAGGGATGGACGGGGCATCACAGCCTCTCTGGGCAGCTGCTCCAGCACCTCACCACTCTGTAAAGAACTTAAGAAGTAGTAAAGGACATCATTTCTGGGTGGGTTTCTTTTTGGACATTTATGTGGCCTTCGTTTAGTTTTAATTGAAATGCAATGCTTCCTTTAGTTTGCTTTGCAAATGAGAAGATTTTGGAAATCAGTAGAAGTGCTGAGAGTGTTAATGGATAGCCAGATTCTGTGCAGAGTGCATAGAAATATCTGCATTACAGATACTTCTTGCAAAGACCAATTTGTACCTTGTGGGGAGCCGTGGAACTGGGGGCCGGTTTGCATGAAACCTCCCTCTGCATCAGGAATTATGGAAGTGCAGAATTTGGGATTTTATACATTGTTTTAAAAGTGCTGTAGATACATAATGATACAACATGATAAAGAGTATCATTGTCTTAAGCTAGAAATGCATGGAGCTTTGCTTTCCATAAAGCACTGATATGCTGAGTTCTGTTGAGAGTTCTATTTGTTCATTTTACTTCTGGGAAAGCTGGGATTTTTGTGGGGTTTTTTTTCTTTTTTTTTTCTTTTTTTTTTTTTCTGCCTCCTGCTTTAATTAGAAATAGTTGGATTCCTTATTCCTCTATGGATAATTTTAATGTCAATGTGTGTTTTTTTTTAAAGGTCTGTGGACAAGTATGTCATAATATATGAGACTGTAAGTATGGTGTATTGTAAGGTTATTCATGATAACTCATTTGGCTGCTGTCTTTATTAGCACTTCTGCAATATCCTGTCAAGATAAAGAATACATTATGAAATAAGAACTATGAAACCCCCTATTTTTATTTTTTAATCTTCAATAAGTGTAACTTGAGGTAAAATATCTCCTGAGAACCAGTCAATCTCTCTCATTCTTAATTGACATTTATTTGAGTGTTTTGTTACTTGATTTCTTTATGCTGCTCTGCAGGACAGTATCATTGAGTGAATCCTATGCTTGCATGTTCTTACTGAAGTAGAAGGAGTTTTGCTAATCTTAAATTTTATCCTAGCATTCAAAGCAAGAGGAATGGTATGCATTGATGTAAAAGGAGGGACAGTGATCACAGAAATCCTTTAGTAATTGTATATACAGCATATTATTTAATTAGAAGCGTATTAAATAATTAAATGGAAGCATAATAAATAATTCAAGACAAAAATTACATTACATACAATGACCTTTCTTCAAAAGCATCCTCTTGAGGTGTTTTGTGTAATACTGTTATTATATTCTTTGGGGTTCACCCGACAGTGGTATTTACAGCCTTATCATATTCAGAATAATGATTTTGCTGAAAATGACAGATGAACAAATTCTAAGCTTTTCTGCATGTGCTGCTGTACTGATAGAGATTTTCAGTGAGGGTTGCGTGTTTGTCATCAAAATGGCTCACCTGATGCCTTCACAGTTTTGGCCCAGTTGTATCAGTAGTTTGATGCTTAGATCCCCGGGAGGAATGGCACATCAAGGGACATCAAGGGAACGAAACTGTAGGCAGCTGCAGCATCACTGTCTCTTAGTGCTGTTGGTCAGATTTTTAGCCTGAGATTTTTAACACAAGGTGCAACAAATTTTTTAGAAGTTCTTTTGCCGTTTTTAAGGCTGAGCGAAGTTAAGACAATAAATCTTCATGGGAGAGAGACGTTTTGGCCTAAAATAGGATGCTTTCCTCAGGCCCAGTAGTAGAAGAAAACTATGAATTACTGTCTTGGAATAACTTTGCTCTTCATCTTTTAGTTCTGTCTGTACCTGTCAAAGAAATGCTACCTTTAGTCATGAGGAAAGTCTCCCAAATCATATGTTAAAACTGAAAATTCGGGGATTTGTTTTTAGTAGCATCCAGTTTAGAAATACACAAACCTCTGATGTAATCCCAGTAAATTATTAAAGGTTGTAGTACAAAGTCTGCTTGAATTTCAGTTATTGTTTCAGGTCGTTTTCAATCCTGGATCTGTAGAAGAAATGCTCTTATCCACAGGAACAATCAGCCAATACGGGTACAATTAATGCAGCTGCTATTTCTACTGTTATTACAGTGAAGGGGAGCCTTCTGCCAGTGGGCTGAATAGAGAACCTCACATAGGAAAACCAAGATGCATATCTGACTTTGCTGCCCATTGGCTTAGGCAAGGTCATATGCCTACTCTGAAGGTGACTTCTGTCATATTCAAAGAAGAAATAGTATTCCTTATCTTTGAAAGTATGTGCACAGGTGAGTGAATGTGTTTCATTCTTGAAATAAAGTCACAAATGTTCTTTTTTTTTTTACAGAATACTGGCACTATCCTTCATACTTTGTCTCAGCATACCAGGTATGAATTCAGTATGATAGATACCTTACTATTAATAAATAAAAGAAATCCACTCAGTGCCATGTCAATTTCCACGTCTGTAGGTATGTCACAGCTTGTGCCTTTGCGCCGCGCAGTCTCTTACTTGCCACGGGTTCAATGGATAAAGCTGTGCACCTATGGCAGCTGGACAGTAAGCAGCCCTGTGCAGGTCAGTGTTGGAAGTATTTTTAGCCTTTTGTTATGCAACAGGCATTCTCTGTTATCAAACAACAACTAACTTAGAGATTAGAAGAATATTATCTTTCTTTCTTCTCTGGTGTTTTCCATTTCTTACTTTCTGTATAGCAGTTAGGATGCGGGTGTTAATTCCCAGAGCACTGAAAGACTTTTCAAAGACGTATATTTGGCAGTAATTTAAAAAGAAAATATGCTAATTGAAAACATAATTGTCAGCAAGAAATACAACTGGCCAGTCACTGCAGAAGGAAAAACTTAAGGAGTACCTTAAGTATGTGGAGTAAAAATAAATGGATCTTTGTTCAAAGCTCAAGAATTCAGTCTGGAATTTGGTGTGCTTTTACAAGGAGATATGGTACTTAGTTTTAGTGTCTGCTGACACTTCTCAGTCTCTTGTTCAGTTTTGACAGACGTCAGCACTTGAGAGGTTAAATTCCTCTGAACTTTGAAAATGAGTCAATAAAGACAAACCCAAATGACTGTCCTCCTATGAAGGAGTGTTTAATGAGTATTGCTTTTATCTGATGTTAGGAAATGTGGAATAGTGAGAGCATTTGGAAAATGCTCATTAATTCCATAGTTCTTACTGATTGGGTTTGGTTTTTTTTTGTTTTTCATTGTATTGTTTACCTTACTTTTGTCTTTCCAAAGGAAACGCTACAGAAAATAACTCTAAGATTAGAACTGCTGAGAACTGGTCGGAGGATGAAGTTTCAGCCTGGCTTTGTGCACAGGGCTTTGCAGAACTTGTTGGGCTTTTCAAAGCAAATAACATCGATGGCAAAGAACTCCTGAATCTTACAAGAGAAAGTCTGACTAATGAATTAAAAATTGGTAAGAATATAGAAATCCAAGCAGTTTGTAGTCCTTTATGTTTATGTAAGATGTTGGGATGAAAGTAAGTGAGAAGTTTCATGCATGGGTGTGTTTTTCTGAAATGCATTTTTGATCACTACTGTTGGTAACTGAAACAGACAAACAAAGCTAATGTCACATTATCCCAAGTACTGCTTGTTTTCTTATAGCTAGAAACGTAAAATTGCTCATTCTCTGGCAATGCCGTGTTGATAAGTGGTCTTACCTGCTTTTGGTTCTGTTTTCCTTTTTTAGATTTTGGGTCATTAAGCTGTGGGAAAGTAATTTCACCTTTCATGTAGACTTACTGATTCTGACTTGGTAAATGGGGTTTTTTCCTGTCAGTTTATAAAAAGCGTCACGTCTGTCATATTATATGGTGAGCGACCTTAAATTTAGCAGTGAGTACACTTCAGAGTGCAGTTAGCATAGCAGAAAAATACAGGGTATGTTTTATTTTATACTTATTTGTAGATAAAGCATTTGGTGTCAGTAATGCTCAAGCAAACCTTACCAATCTCAGACACTTTGCAATTCGTCAGGCATCCTTCGGCTTAATGTTGACCTGTCGCTTTATTGAAAACTGAAGTTACGTTTTAGAAGGACTCCTGCGCTGTGGCATCGTTACCACTCACTTCCTGAATTCTGATAAAAGAAACTTCTCTGTGGCGGACTACTGCAGAGCTTTCAGAATGTTCTCTGTTCTCTGTGGCTAGATGTTTTGGCAAACACATCAGCACTAATTTACAGCTGAGACTGAGTATAACAACAGTCAAATGAGTCAAGAAACCCTTCTATAACTATATTTCTATTTTATGAAGTTAGCATGCTTTCCTGTAGACAGAGTGCTCCCCTCCTTTTTCTTAATTGCGGTCTTGGTATCTGTCAGCTCAGTATCAGTGTGTCAGTCAGCTTTGTGAAGTACAGAAATCAACGGAATTGCTGCAAATCTGTCAGGAATTGCCGCTGATGAAAGACTCATAGCTCTGTGTTCCTGCATACGTGTTCCCTCATGTTGGAGTAGCCTAGAACCATTGCAGCAATCACCAGCTGAGACTCATCAAGCTGACTGGAGGGTTGTGTGGAAATGGTGTGCAGTGGGAGCTGCGCTACTGGCAATTATCAAAGGATTATGGATAATCCCTTAGCTCCTGACTAGAGATTTAATCAGGAGGTTGTTAATTGAAGGTGCAAACTGAATGCAAGAATTTGGCTACATCAGCAAGATCTAGGAAAAGTTGCTCTTGTAATAAAGATTGTAGAGGATGCCCTCAAAAAATGTAGTTACAACTACAGAATTTTGTTCCTTATTACCTTTCTTTTCTTTGGTTATATTCTTAATTTTTCTTGATCTCAGTCTGATCCCACAGATCTTTACAATATTGCCATGCAAAATCTTCCTTAATAATAAGCATGAGCTTTTTATTATATTTCAGTACTGTATTTCAATCTTTACAGTATCTTAATCCTTACATATGTCATTAGTTAATCTTTTTTATAGAAATTAGGTAGTTAATGAGTGCTTTGCCTCAGTCTTCAGTGGCAGCCAGGATTCTCACATGCCTGAATCTGAATCTCCAGGTGGGAACCGGGGGAACAAATTCTGCTCCACTGTAAGGATGGCACACGAGACTGATTGTGTTCACATCCTTGGGGCTGGGTGACATGTATCCCTGGCTCCTAAGGGAGGCTCTTATGAACCTGATGAGGTTCAACAAAGCAAAGTGCAAGGTTTTGCATTTTAGGTTGAGGTAATCACAGATATGTACACAGACTGGGAAAACTCCTTGAAAGTAGCCCTGCTGGAAAGGAATGAAGGGGGCTGCTTGATGAAAAACTGAACATGAGACAGCAGAGTGTGCTCACAGCCCACAGGGCCAGTGCTATCCTGGGTTCCAGCAGAAGAGGGGAGGCCACAGGGTGAGGGAGGTGATTGTGTCCCCTCTATTCTGGGTCTAAAGCCCATTTGTGAATCCAAATTTAAGGTAGTAGTAGTTCTGCGGACTTCTCAATATTGCGTGGGGATGGGAGGATTGAGCTGTGTCTCCTCTGGCATGGCAGTGAATGCAAGAACAACCTCTCTGCCTCACATAATGGTGTTTTTTGCTCTGTATTCCAATAACTTTTCAGAGTCTCTTGGCCTGCGCAGTAAAATCCTCCAGAAGATCAAAGAGCTGAGGATAAAAACAGTCTCTGTTTCCACTGCTGTTCCTGATGAATTCTTATGCCCTATAACTCGGGAGCTCATGAAGGATCCTGTCATTGCAGCAGGTATGACTTTGAGCAATGTTGAATAACGAGAATGGCTTAAAGATGGGCATGGGAACACAAAAACTGGCCATGTCTTTCTACAGTGAACAGGATAAATTAATCTAAGTAGCTATTGCAAGAGAACAGAACTGTGGTAAATGTTTGGCCAAACTGTGTCTGTGACAGAGAAAAATATAGTACTGTGATTCCTTTAGTGTCTGCTTTATTGACAGAACCATATAAAATTTTTTTTAATGCTCTTTTCTTTTTGTGCCTCTGCAAGTATATATTTAAATCCTAATTAGAGAGTTGTCTCTGTGAATACACAATGGAATTGTGCACAAGGGAAACAACAGCAAAAACACAAGCTCATTACTAAGTTTACACAGCTGTATATATGGCACTTAAGGGTTGTACAGAAGGTCAGATATCCCACTGATTTGGTGGCTTTGTTCCTCTCTTTTAATGCTTTAAGAAAAAAAAATTACAATTAAAATGTTCTGTTACTCATATAATAGCAATAATGTATGTTTTACAAAGGCTGCTCCAAAAGCAGCACCTCCTGTTTTGTTTTGTTGGCCCATAAGAGGTGAGTGTCAGTGTGATGGCAGTAGAGGTTGAACCTTCCCACCAGTATTCCATTGCATGTTGTTGCCATGACAGATGGCAGTACAGGGAGTCAAATGGTGTCTGACATGGAAGTGCAGATGAAACAAAGCTGTCATTGAATTCTTTCAGGTGAAAAAAGTGGCACCCATTGTCATTCAGCAGTGTTTGTGAGCACAGGGAGGCGGTGGGTGGTGTGTTTCAGCTGTGGTGACTGTGGGTCACCTCGGCTTGCCCAGATACTTATGAGCATGGCATGCAGACTCTTGCTCATTGCTCGCGAAAATGCACAGCTAAAGGTGGTGACTATGTTGAAAAATGGTGTTTTTGTAGCTGAGAATTTGCCCTAGCAAGCAGTGCTGTTGTGCTCCTAATAGCTGTTGTAGTTTGCATAGGAATAAGTAGGAGGCATTACTTTTGGAGCAACTTACATATACATGGCCCACAACAGTTCTTACTAAATCAAGCCCAGGCAAGACAAAGGTTGTCTCAAAAGAGACTGAACAATTTCATGTGTCCTGTGTCATTTCCACCTCACTGTTTACTGCAGGAACTGAATTTTATCTCAGTACTGCTGTATCAACTGTTACTGTAATGCATTCAACTACATGATTTTTCTACATCTCAATTCTCTTATCTGGAAATACCGATTCCCTTCTACCTCTTACATATGTAAAATACACACTGTGTACCAGCACCCTATCGTCTGTAATGCAAGCTTTTGATGCTGGTTTCTTTGCAGATGGGTATTCCTACGAAAAGGAGGCAATAGAAAACTGGATCAGCAATAAGAGACGCTCCAGTCCCATGACGAATCTCCCTCTTCCCAGTCTTGTGCTTACACCCAACAGGACACTGAAAATGGCCATCGGCCGTTGGCTGGAGACTCAGCAGAACTGTGGTGAAACCACGTCGTTTTGAAGTTGTTTACTAAAATGAAGGTAAATGTCATAAATGTAAATGTAGGTAATGGTAGGCTAGAGGAGATATTTGTGTCAGAAACACCTGCAATTAAAAAAGTTCTCTTCTTTCCTGGCTGTCACTTTTAATGCACTTTTAATGCTAAAAGAGCATTTTCACTGTTGGAAGCTCCTAAAAATTTACTGAATGCTTTTTAAGTTATTTTACTTTTACTCAGTGGTATTTCTCTTTAAGAAATCAAACACCAGGACTCAGCATTTTTCAAATAACTTTTCTTGAAATTTTCCTCAAATTTATGAGTTTTTGAGTCTTCATTTTGCAATGTGAGTCTCAAAGCACAGACTTGGTATTTTATTTCTACTTTTTAATTGCAAAAAGCGTATTTCCCTGTTCCCTATGAATGAACATGCATTTGGAGAAGCTGGGAGAGAATTCTTCCTGAGCTGTCAGTGACTGCATCTCACACAGCTGTAATCATAACTTTAATTTTGTATGGAAAAAAATACAGTAGCTGTGCAAAAATAGAACTACAGGACCAGAATAATAAACTTGTACAAAATACCAAAGAAATAGTATGCAATAAATAAGCAAAAGCATAATAATGTGAACTCAGGAAAGAATTTATAAAACCGCGTACAGCTGTTTACAAGGCAATGCACCACTGTACAACACACGAGACCTGAGAAGTGACAGCCTCAGGTTGCCCACTGGCAGCCAGAAGTCTCACTGCACCTCTTTAGTTTCCAAGTATTCTTGCCTCTATAAACCTTATTTCCTCTGAAAAATCTGCCCAGCTTCATCCTACAAAGTAACTGCACATACGCTTTTCTTCCAACGTTCACCTGCGTTTCATTTCTTGGGCTTCCTATCGAAATACTTACTAAGCATTTCACTGCTGTACCTTTTTTAATAATTAACAGCTGATACAGAATTTTGCTTTAAAATAGCACCCAAAGGTGATCAGGTAACTATATAAAGTGCGATTATCGTTAACATGCTGTAATGCTGTGTTACTCAGTGCAATAACCAATATGGTCAAAGCCTTTCAATACACATGCAGATGTTACTGTTTATTTTACTTGTTACTAAAAATAGTTATATTTACATCTCAAAACATGACTGCTTTGAGTTTACTCATACACAAATTTTGCTTCCTAAATGTACATCATGCACCTCAAAGTAGAGCCCACTGGAAAAGTGATAAAATATTATCTTTGATTTAAAAAAACCATATACAGATCTGAAGAGTACGCAGCATCTATTTTCGTAACACTGTTCTTTGAAGTAAGCACTTAAGCATAATAGAGGCACAGTTATTGTGTAAGTGATGAGATGCAATGCAACCAAAAGCAAAGATTAAAGCCCTATGGAGAAGCTAAATATATATATATATATATGTATATATATTTTCTTTTTTGGGGGTAAAATGTCACGGCAAGAATTTTGCTACTTGAGGTCCTAGTTTGTCGGATTGATTGACTGATTGATCCTAACGACTGTTCCTACACAAGTTGGCTTTTCCAGTTACTGTGTCAGTATGAACAGCTTGAAGTGGTCGCACCCCACAAGGCACTGGTCAGCATGGGCTGAGCGCCCACCAGCAGCCAGTGGTGGGATTACCCTGTGATGTTGGAAGCAAAGTTCTACAACTGCGTAATGTACAAAATCATATTTACACGTTTGATTCGATAAATGATCGCTTGGGTTTTGCAGAGGTGACGTGGCTTAAGTGACCTTCCTTACTGATGTGAGAGTGCTGCTTTGGTGGCGCATCTTGGTATAAATGCAGAACCTGTTTTGGTGCTCTGTTATCTTGACAGTAGGCCACTGTTTGACACTTCAGCTCCTCGTGTGCTTTACCTTGCATCCCATTCTGGTTGCTCTCTCCTGGGACAGTAACAGCAGAGGAAGTTTTAGTTTGAGAGTGTTTGACTGAAAACTGCTCAAAATTAGAAGACTGAATGCTTCCAGAAGAAACATTTGCTGATAATCCATCCGAGGTCTGAGAATGCCAAGAGCGACTGGACTGATTTTGCTGCTGAAACCTGGCAGTCTTATCCATGATTCCCATAAATGGCGTATTGCGAGGTCTGTGTTCAGCAGCAGCACCATGAACTTGATTAACTTTGTTCTCCTTGATTCGAACGTCTGGCCCCAGCCCCTTAATGCCATCTGCAAAGCTACTCACTGAAGTTAAGCTGCTGGTTGAGCTGGCAAGAATCATACTGCTAGATGGAGAACTCGAAGAGACAGTGCTGGGTACAGGGGTTTGCTGTCTTGCTTCACTGAAATTCATTTGAAATGGGGCTGGTGATGGGTCAGTGGTTTTGGATTTCTTTGCAAAAGAGTGCTGTGAATGGGAACACTGGCTGGATGTGAACTTCTCATTGTACAGCTCAGAAGTAGCACCTGTGGAAGCACTTCCAGCAGAAAATGCGCTTGTCCCATCCAAATGCTGAACTTTAGAGTGTTGAACTGGCACAGGACTTTGAGAAAGATGCTGAAAAGGCGACTGTGTCTTTGTATTACATTGATTACTTCCCAGTTTTGATCCAGGCTGCATGGAGCTCAGGTGCTGATTAGTTTTTACAATCTGTGCTTGCTTTGTTGGCTGCATGATCAAGCCTGGCTCTCTTAGGTATTTATTGCCTGTTCTGCCTTGAGGGGACACAGGTCTCGCTTTCTGCTGAACACTGTCTTGAATGTTTCTAGCGTATGATGAAGCAGCTAAGGAACGCTGCAGCCTTTGTGGAGAGGAAGCGGATTCATCAGGGTGCGGTAGTTCTTCCTCTTTTTCTTGGAGATGGAAGTTCTCATTCACACCTTGAATAACATCCTCCTCCTCATTATCAGAGTTATTAATTTGCTGTCCTGACTGTGGGCACTGATGCTTCTGTTGTTGTGTTCTCTGGAACTGCTTACACTCCTCTTCTACTCGAGCCAGAAGACGTTTTATTTCCTGATTGCTAGGACACAGCTTTGTGGCTTCATGTAAGTCAGCAAGAGCAGCAAGTAGCTTTCTGTATGAAGAAGACCCAGAATTCATTAATAAAAACCTGGGACAAGTCTGAGTTTCGGCACTGCTTATTAAGCAGTAATATCCACCTCCACCACTTTCAAAGAGATGTTCTGATCTGTCATCTCCTGTAGGTGTGGTGAAAAGATAAGAACTGTATAGTCTTCAACCCAGGAAGTTCTGCAGTGGAAGCACAGACCTAGTCCTAAGTCCTTCCCCTCTTGCATCCCAAGAGTCATCAGGAAGGCAGCAGAAATCAACTAGGAACTGAAGCACTGTCTCACGAGCCCTTCACCTTCACAGGAGGTCACCAGCTAAACTCTGCTCCCTGTCAATTTCTTATTCTGCTTTGGGCTGGCACCAGTGCTACAAGCAGTGTGGGTGCTTCATGCCCAGAGGTGCCCAAGGCCATGGATGGGTGCAGCCTGAACTGCTGGGGAGCAGTCAGCCCGTGGCAGGGGTGGAGCAGGGGGGCTTTGGCATTCCTTCCACCCCAACAATACTATGGGACTATGATTCTGTAGAATACCTCTCCTTACTCACTCTTACATTTAAAGGAACTCACTTCGTATCAGTTTACTTCTATCTACTTTCTGGGCTAATAATTACCTGAATGGGTATTTAATATTGCTTTTTGGGCTTGGTTTGTTTTGACTGATGGTGAAACCTAATAATACGGAAACTGTACCAAAAAAATATTTTTCTTTCTAAATTCCAACCACAAAAAGAAAAGAAAAAACAGAAAAGAAAAGCAATCACAGAAAGCATTACAAAGTTAAAAGAAAATGAATGTGGACTTACGAACAGAATCAAACAGTACCTGCTGTTCCTTTTTGCTCTTGCTCGAGCATAATAGGCTTCGTAAGACTTGGGCTTCAAATCCAATGCTTTGGTAGCGAACTCTTCAGCCATACCAAAATCCTAATTATTTAAACAAATGTACTCATTATACATTGACAATAAAAGAGAGCCATGTGTACTTCAATCATGGTAGTGCTTCAGAAAGTGCAGATAGCTTGTCCAGTACAGAAAGTGACACTGGGAGCACAGCGTATCTTGGTAGCACTTGCTGTGAAGTCTAACAGAAACTGACTCTAAAGTATTTAAGATGCAGAGTTATACAGTTATTGTCAATGCACATGCATTAAACAAGAGACAAGAGACTGCATGTTGAGCAAGGAAAGGGATCCCCTCAGATAAAAACACTTTGAGTGCACTGTGAAAAAAGAAAGAATAAAGACTTAGAGAAAAAAGAAAAAAAGACATTAAAGGAGTTGTATCAGTCTAGAGCTTTCTTGGAGGAGGTGTGTGTGAATTCTAAAGAAAACCTACAGTAGATCCAGTAGATCTAATGTATTTGGTCTGCATTTCACAAGAACAAAAAAGAACAGTTTAGCAAATACAATTAAACCCAAAGCTGGAATTTACAAAGCACGACTGAAATGGGGCAATGATGGCCATGGAAAGATGAAGCCAGTCTAATTTTTAAAACACCCATGCACAGCAAAGCAAAAGCTTATCAAGAAAAATCAAAACAACACATGAGAGTATATAGAAAGAATCTCCTCCTTTCCTCCCTCTCCCATTGATCACAGAGTCACTTCCAGCTGTTAGTGTGAGGCTACTGAAAAACAGTCTGATCCAGGAGGCGGCTGGAGACTGCAGTTCTAACAGCGAAAGTAAAGGAATGGCACTTGCACAGCAGTGCTAGAATGGCCAAGATAAATCCTCAACATCCATGTTTAAATGTTCTTCAGATTGAAATAGATGCCATGAACAACATGGAAGACTTGGGAATTAAGAAGTTCGTGCCTGAAAAGAAGGAATTGTATGAGGTGTATTCATAGAATTGCAAGGTTTAGCTCTAATGGTCATTGAGGTTCTTCGCTGCCATCTGATACACTGCTGAAGCTACAAAAGGAACAACCAACACATACCAACAAGCTGTATAAGCAGGCACTTCACAATAAATGCTGGTGGCAGCAGAATTTTCCATGTAGTCCTTTAAAAGTACCAGGAATGGCCAGCAGTTTGTTATTCCAAAATAATGGTAACATAACAGCTGCAATAGTTCTCCCCTTATCTGGGGAACTGTCCCCATTTGTTCACACAACTAAGCCCCAGAACAGCACAGTGAAAGGAATTCTAAAACAGCAAAAAAACCACCAAAACCAACCACGTCCAATGTTTGGGCAGTGTACCAGTGTTTGCTAAGCGAGAAATCCTAAGACTCAGTTGCGTCCATACGCCTTGGAGGAATCTGCACATCCTCCCCTCTTCTGCCTTTGGAGCTCACCATAGTGATGGAGAGTCACGAGAGCACAGCAGCAGCAAGATGTAACAGAAGCCATCAGCAGTGTGGTAGAATAGGTGTCTAAGATTCCCAGTGATAGAGAAGCAATGGATTAAAAACAAGAGCTTACATTTGTTTTTCGGCGACACCGTGATAAATTTAAGTACAATGAAACTCTCATCTCATTGAATGCTTTCATTTCTTCTCCAAATCCTTCCCTCGGAAACTTCCTCAAGGCATACTGATAGCGCTGTGCTGCTTCTTTCATCTTGCCTTTCTACACAGTAGGGAATAAGAAGCTTTTTCAGAAACCTGTATTATTACAGCGCTGTCACAGTGCAACCACATTCATATTTGAAATCTACCAACATGTTCTCTTCACAGAGAAATATATATTTGTAATGTATATATGTTGCACTTACACACAGGTACCGTAAGGGAACTTAAGAGGTAATTACTTATTTTTTTATAGTTTATGTTTCTTTCTAAACTCAGTATTTTAATAGTGTTTCACCAGGACGCTACACACAGTAATACACACTTCTTGTACCAGAACAATTCTTCAAGAATGTGTTTGACACCATACAATTCTTAATTTCACTTATTAAGGAGAGCAGTCAAATGACTGATGATACAGTTTATTAAAGCTCTAAGACATTTCTAATGGAGTATATCCTTAATCAGGAATGGTTACCCTTCACCAGGTGGTGCTACCACAGAATAAGGGATGGATGAGGAGAGCAAGAAGGAACTGGTGCAGCACTCAAACCTGCAGCCCAGCTACTCCAGCTTCATTTCAGTGACTCAGCCATGAGTATTGGGTGGAGGGCTGAATGTAGGAACATAAATGCAGTAAAGGATTGGCCGCCCACTTGTTAACAAAGGCTGAGAAGTAATTGCTGCACACTGGAAGCACGTTGCCATTGTTTTATGACTTTTGTTATCTGTATTCCACATCACAATATCACGTGGTGCACTGGGAGTAAAGACTCAGTGCTGCAGTTCCGTGAATTGTTGACAGTTCTGTTTTACCTGTCCCAGAAAAGAAAGAATGAACTGCATATCCCAGAAGACTTCACTGTTTTGTTTCCATTCAGAGGGAAAGATAAAACTGTTTGGGAGTCACATCCCCTTCTTTTTCTGCTCGTCTGCTCTCCCTGGCCGTCTCACTTTCAGCCTTACAGTAACGCCTTCTGTTTTGGACACTCATTTTTTCTAATTCACTAGCTTCAATTCCAAATATATTGCATTATACTGTGTTATCTCACACTTCACTATCGTATTTAGTAAATTAGTTTT